AGAGTCCTGCGTTTGGGTCCCACTTCCCCACAAGTCCACAGTCTGCCACCGCAGTACGTGACAGTTCTAAAGAATTGTGTGTCCATAAAACAGGGGTGTCAAACTCAATTGCACACTTTAGGTCGCAGGCCAGAAAAGATAAACATTTATTGAACACACTAAAACAATATTTTTTAAACATAAATGTGAATAAAAACATGGCATCATACATGCCATGTCCATGAAGTGAGATTTCCTTGCTGAGCTCAAAGGCTATTGAGAACTTTTACCCAACTCAGCCAACGGACCTCTGTATGATAAGATAAGATAAGATAAAATAACCTTTATTAGTCCCAAGCGTGGGGAATTTATTTGTTAAGGAATGTTGGCAAACTCTGAATCTATTTCCCACGTGACGGACTGAAATTGACGGTGATTTAAACCTTTAGCTCGGAAAAAATTTACAGTTTGCATTACAGTGCTCATTACATGCTCCGTTTTCAGGACTTTACCACACAGCCTTTCCTGGTGTATGATGCAGTGATATGCTGTTAACTCACCGGTACAGTTCTCCTCCTGCATCTTTACTCGCATCCTGCCGACTAGTCCACTTTTTTCACCACACATTGCCAACAGGTGTCGTGCCAAAGTAGTTACCCCGGGCAAAAACTGTTTCCCCATCTACGAGAGTGCGCAAAGTAGGAGGAGCCACTTGCCCAGGTTCGTTTCTGTACACTACTTGTCACTGATCTGCAGTCGTTGCAATAAAGAGTAAAAGCTGAAAAATAACAGACTTGATTTGTGAATGATCTTAATACTAATTTCATGACATTGTAATGTGCTGTGCGGAAGACTATTTACCTTAAACTGTACACTGAAATAACCTGCTGGGAATAGTTTGTCCAGACAAAGACGTTGACACTGTAATACTGTAAAACCAGACGGGATCATGTCAACACATCGCTCTCCGGTGAATTTATCCTGGGTTTACACTTCTGTAATGCACACTAGCGGTGCTATCACGAAGGAGTTTATTTGCAAAATAAATCAGAGTATAACCAATAACCACAGTAACTTTGGAGATGATTTCCTTCTCCCAGCAAAAGTTATGGAGGGGTACAGATTTTATCTAGTGGATCAAGATACAGCGACTTCTTTTCTTGTGGGTAAATGACCTAAAATAAAGTTGGGTGGAGAATGACAAGTACTAAGATTATCTACATGCCATGCATTTATCTTATAAAACGGTTTTGATGAATATTGTAAATTAAATTATTATTATTTTTACCACTAATGTCCAGTTGTATGTCCACAACAACCTCCAAAACCGTACAGCGCTTTGGGCTGTGAGGCAGAGGAGGAAGAGTGGTACACCTCTGTTGTTTGTGAAGTATTTCACTCACACATGTGATGTGACAATAAAAGGGATTTGATTTGATTTGATTTAAAAACGTTAAATTTGGCTACATGTCGGCAAAGCTATGTTAGTAAATTTTGTACTTAATGCAGCTTGATGATTAACTCACAAGCTTGTCAACACAAAGTTCTTTATTTGGAGCACAGTTCTACAACAAACAGAAGCTACCATATTTTTTTAGATCATAAGGCGCATCCGATTATAAGGTGCATTAAGCGAAACAAAACAGTCAAATAAGTCAAACTTTACTCATCAAATTCTTCTTGTTTCTTCCACGTCTGGGAGTGGCTGTAGCTCAGGTGGCAGAGCAGGTCAGGTCAGCCACTAATCAGAAGGTTGGGGGTTCGATCCCAGGCTGTCTCCTGGCTGCATGCCAAATATCCTTAGGCAAGATACTAACCCCATGTTTGCCTACTGGTGGTGCCAGTGTCCGGCAGCCTCGCCTCTGTCAGTGCGCCCCAGGGCAGCTGTGGCTACAATGTAGCTTGCCATCACCCTTGTGTGAATGGGTGAATGACTGAATGTAGTGTGAAGTGCTTTGGGGTCCTTAGGGACTAGAAAAGCGCTATACAAATGCAGGCCATTTACCATTTACTTCTGTACCATTGATCCATTAATGTGGAATTCTCTCGCAGCTGCTCTATTTCCATGTTCTAATGCGTGACTGATAGAGTTTGAAATCTGCTTCGTAAGCATGTCTCTTAACAGGTGCCATTTTGGGTTCCTTATACACATACAATATGGTAATATTATGTTGAAGCACAGTACGTATTACTCTGCGATGCTCCTGACTACAGTAGCCGTAATGATCCAACAATCCATCAAGCGGTGCAGCTTCATAGCTTACCACTAAAACATACTAAAACATTTTGACAGATTTTTGAGCGCTGCCACATAAAATCAGTTTGCCGTCACTAAGCACAACCAGAATTAAGGCACACTTTTGAGGAAATGAAAGGATTTTAGTTGCGCCTTGTAGTCCGAATAATATGGTACTGAAAAAGTTCTTGTGCTTAAAGTGCTTCACTGAGCTGACATTTAAACTTAAAATAATTTAAGATATATAAAATAAAAATAAAGTCAAAATAAAAAGAGCCTCAAAGGCTTTGAACTGAACATCTCAATATCTGAACATCTTACCTTGGACATGAGCATCTGAGAGGTTCCGCCCTTGACTATCTCTGATTGGTTTTGACCATAATATGGGCATAATGTGTGTCTGTTGTTGACCACACAGAGACTTTGAGTTGCAGAGACTTTTTTTTACTCAAAGGGCTGGTCGCACCGGTGCTGTCAAGGCTTTTTTTTTGTCACACCATTGAGAAATTATTTGCGACCAAATTGGTTGCACTCTAGAGACCTGTTAATGTTAAAATAATTTTATTATCAAGTTTTTTCAGTGTGGGACAAAGTACTCAGGTCCTTTAACAAAAAGTATAAAAGGCAGTGAAGGTTCTAAATTCAAAAACTTAAATATGTTAGTATGAGCACCAGAATGTACCCAAAAATAAATTTCAGTATTTCTTTCTTCAGTTATATGCCTCAGACTAAAAGTGTAATGATTATAACTGTAAGTTTGGGACCCCCAATACACCCAACTCTACTTGGGTGTAGAGTTGGGTGTATTGGTTGCTCTAACATTTTAAGCTTTATTCTGGGATGTTTATTATTCCTTTTGAATTGGTTGTGCTGCTTGTGAGATTGATGGAAGTACTTCTTCAGTGGGAGAGCTTGTAAGTAGTTGAATTTTGGAGCACATTTTGTTTTAATAATGTTAACTTTGCCCCAAAGAGAAAGAAAAAAAAGGGGGACCATCGAACTATATAACTATATGATATAATTCAGTAATATTAATGCTCTTAGGTTGTTAAAGAGAAGTTTGACCACCTTGCTTGGATGATTACAATACACAGAATAGAAACCGTCACTCTACCATGTCAAATGCTTTCTCTACATCATGGGAGAGGGCTATAGCTGGAGAAAAGTCACCTGGGGGGATTTATTTTGGGCTGCCCAGATAATATCAATTAGGCGTCTAATGTCTTTATCCTGTCTTCCTTCTCTCACCCCAACCGCAGCCGATGGCCCCGCCCCTCCCTGAGCCTGGTTCTGCTGGAGGTTTCTTCCTGTTAAAAGGGAGTTTTTCCTTCCCACTGTTGCCAAAGTGATTGCTCATAGGGGGTCATATGATTGTAGGGTTTTTCTCTGTATCTATTATTGTGCGATCTACTGTACAATATAAAGCGCCTTGAGGCGACTGTTGTTGTGATTTGGCACTATATAAATAAAATTGAATTGAATTGAATTGAATTAATGTTATTGGCAGAGCTATGAGTCTGGATAAAGCCAACTTTTTTAGGGTGTAAAATTTTGCAGTTACAGTTAATCAGTTTTCTTGGCCTTAACTATTACATTTAAGTGGGTCTTTGTTTTTCTCTTAAAGAAAAACAAAGACTTAAATGAAAGGGAGATAAAAGCTTCTGAAAGCTGCTGTCCTTGTCCAGAGCCTCACCAAACATTTGTAGGAGTAAAGGGAAGTGCTCTTTAGCAAAGTTTGTGTAAAATTCTATTATAAATCGGTCTAATCCAGAAGACAGACAAACAGGACACTGAGACAAGAGTAGGGTATGAAAAGAGACCTAATAACAAACCAGAAAACCTACAATAGGAATAATATAACTTAACTAGGAAACAAGTCACACAGAGAAAACAATAATGAATGAACAAGAATCAAAGAACCAGAATCCCAAAACACTAAGTCGTTGACCAAGGGACACTACCACCTTCAGACTGACAGGTTGGTGGAGCGGCTGAATAAGGCTTTAGAGTCCATGATTTCTTTACGAGGATGAATGCAACTGGGATTGCTGGTTAGACCCTCTGCTGTTTGCAGGGCAGGAGGTGCCCCAGGCCTCCATGAATTTTTTTTCCCTTTAGTTATTGTTCAGCAGGAAGCGATGGGGGCTGTTGGAGCTTTTTAAGGAAAACTGTGAGGAAGGTCCAAGCCCAGCTAAGAATGATATTCAATATGTTTTGGACCTGAGAGCAAAGCTTCACAATTTGGGGTCCAGGCCCAGGAACATCAGCAGCACCTGTACAACTGAGCAGCTAGCCTGAGGCAATTGGCTGAGGCTTTTTCCTCCCTTTCATTCTACAGACTAGTAGGAGTAGGCTAGCTCCGATTGCTGCGGTCTAAGTCTGGCGCTGGGAGAATGTGGTGAGGTGTGGTTTATGGCTCAGCTGCAGGGGAGGGGTGACCCACATGGCTGATCCCCATCATCTATTCATGCCTCTCCTTTCTAGTAACCCAGGTCCTGCTGGGTGTGTGGTGTGTGCTGCATACTGTGCTAGAAACATCAGCTGCAAAGCTGCACAGCCAAGAGTGGAGACAAAAAAAAAAAAACTATAAACATTGAACCATCGTGCCACGCTGTGTGCGTTGGGTCCTCTGTCACAGGATACTTAATGAGCCTGAGCTGTCACTATGACACCTAAGCTTACTGAGCTACTATCACAAGTTATATTGTATCTAGTCCAATAATATTTAGGCAGTATTCATGAAACTGTACCTAAGTGTGCATTTTATGACAAAAAGTCACAGAAATTTGGATTATTTGGGACTTTATTGACAACCAAAGTATGAAAAGGAGAGAAAGAGCAATGCCGTTTTACTGATACATATTCTACTAATTAATTTTTTAAAGTTTACAGACAAATGAGGAAAACCTTGAAAAATCCTAAACTATAAGCAGAAACACATCTACCAATGTGTTAAAAACATAACCCACACAACCCTCCAGAATCTCAACTTAAACTAAACTCTAAAATCAAAAAACTCAAAATATATCTTAAATCAAACAACAGAGAATAAACAACATAATCTTCATTAATTAAGAAAAAAATTCAGACATACAGAAAAATCTTTTAAGGTCTCCTGGAATTCAACACAAGATTGTCTTTTAAATCTAATTTTACGAAAAACATAAGTAAACATGTACAAAATTTGAAAAATATTATGATTCGTTTATCACTGAGAGTGAGGGAATCTCAGCATTCATGAGTGATGCAACAATTTACAAGAAAACCCCAGAAAAACTAAACTATTGGATTTTTGAGTTAAGATGAACATACAAAGGTTTATGATACTACAACTGCTGTAATGATTCCACTGTTTCATATTTTTTTAATGTGTTTTACGTCTCTCCAGGTGGTCACATCTTTGTTAGATCTTTCAAATAAAGTGACTTCTTTTTAAACTGAAAACAACAAATTCAGAATATTTTAGTTTCACCATTATGATGTTTATGTTAAACATTTGCCAACTCATTTTCAAACTTCTTGATTAACCAGCATCTGCAACTATATTTTAGATTTTAGATCTTTTTTTAAAAACAAATTTTATGATGTGAACAATCAATTCAATGAATTCTAGTTTATTGAGAAGAACGAGCTGAACCACATCTTCTTTTAGCTCCTCTTTAGGTTTATCCATAAACCTACAGAGATAAAAAAAGAAACACAATAAATGTTAGGATTGTTCAGATCCACAAATAATCTACTTACAGTTTCATTAAGATCTAAAATACTCCTGATTCAGTCAAATATTTACTTCATATGTTTCTGAATGGAATTAACACATTTGTTTTAATGTCGTTAAATCATTTCATGAAACTGTTTTTTGAAAGCATTTTTCTTTTAATATGATTTAAAGTTATACAAAACACTTTTTTTGGTTGCATTTAAAATGAGATTTTACTACAGCCACTATTGTACATAAGTTTTAAAAAGAGCGAAAACATGAGACAAATATGAGGTAACTCACTGTGTGCAGAGCTGTTAGTGGTTTAGGCTTGAGGAAGCATTTGCTCCTGGACTTCAGGGTTCTCTACAGCTGTAGGTCAGAAACACAATGTTAGTCCACATCCTGCTCTCATCTGTCACTTTTACAACAATCAAACACAACAGGAAACAGCCCTGAAAGACTGCTTAGATTAAAGTACAGAAACCCTTTTTAATTTAATGTAGACAAGAGATTAGAGAAAAGGGACAAAGTTTAACTTACGAGATGGGGGACGTTTCTCTGAAGTAAAAAGGAAAAAATACATCATGTTAGTAATTTGTTATAAATGTTAACACACTTTTTTTCAAGTATTATGTAAGGCAGGAACATAATTTCATATTTTCATTTTGCAATCAGGAAAAAAGCATTAACTTAATTTGTAAAATTAAAAACAGACAGTGGGCTTACTCACTAATGTGTTTATAGATATATTCTGATCTTGCACACAAAATGTGCTCATGTACAATTCTAGTCAATTGTACTTATTAATGTGTTTTTCTCCCCTGTACATATCTGCAGACCTGATGAAAATCAGAGACTCTGCCTTTAAGTCCAAAAATAGAGAAGCTTACACTACAGCCAGAGCAGACCTATCACGGGCCATCAAAGAGGCGAAGCGGCAGTACGGAGATAAGACCAACAACAAAAGTTTCACAAGTACAAAGGACACTCAGCGCATGTGGCAGCGCATCCAAACAATCACGGGCTACAAGCCAACACCTGCGGCATGCAGCAGTGATCCCTCCTTGCCAGATAAACTGAATGGCATCTTTGCACGTTTTGAGGCAGAGAACAAAGAGCCAGCAAGGAAGATGCCCCCCTTCCCCGAACAACCAAGTACTCTGTTTGTCCACAGCAAAAGGCTACAGGACCTGACAACATACCTGGCCGGGTGCTTTGAGAGTGTGCTGACCAGCTTGCAGGCATCTTCACGGACATCTTAAATACATCACTGAGCTCAGCTGTGTCACCTGCATGCCTCAAAACCACAAAAATCATCCCAGTCCCAAAGAAGTCTACTGTGTCCTGCCTCAATGACTACCGGCCGGTGGCACGTATGCCCATCATTACAAAGTGCTTTGAGAAGCTGGTATTGAGGAACATGAAAACTCAGCTACATCAGATCTTGGACCCGCTACTATTTGCTTACCGCCCAAACCGCCCCAAAAATGATGCCATCTCATCTTCTCTTTACCTTTCTCTCTCCCATCTCAACAAAAAGGACACCTATGTCAAAATGCTGTTTATTGACTTCAGCTCAGCATTTAACACAGTCATTCCTCAGAAGCTGGTAAAGAAGTTGGACCTACTGGGAATAAACACCACCCTCTGCAATTGGATCTTGGACTTCGTAACTGACAGGCCTCAGTCTGTCATTATAGGAAATAACACTTCCAAAGTCCTCAGACTGAGCACAGGATCGCCGCAGGGCTGTGTGCTTAGCCCTCTGCTGTTCACCCTGCTAACACATGACTGTACTGCACAGTACAGCTCAAATCACATCATCAAGTTTGCAGATGACAGAACAGTGGTGGGTCTCATCACCAACAACGATGAGTGTGAATACAGAGAGGAGGTACAACACCTGGTGGACTGGTGTCAGAATAACAACCTGTCTCTAAATGTTCAGAAGAGCATCTCTCTCTCTCTCAAGAAAAAAAAAAAAAAAAAAAAGAAAAAAAAAAAAAAAAAAAAAAATGTTCAGAAGACTAAAGAGATGGTTGTTAACTTAAAGAAGAGCTCAACGACCCACGATCATTTTTACTCTCAGGCAGTTTTTATAATGAGCTTAGTGACAAAACCTGTAATAAAATAAAACAAAGGAATGAAATAAGAAAATAACTTTGGAAATGCTGTTCTAAAAGAGAAACCTGGCTGCTAAGAAAAAAAAAAGCTAAATAATTTTTGTGAGCAAAGCAACTGAAACAATTGTGTCCGAGGAGGAAGCTGGAGAAGGCACACCTTCCTAATGTAGGTAAAGGTGTGCTTAGGTTATGTTTGTTTGGCAGAGTTGATGGTTAAGAAAGAGAAGAAATGTTTGGTTTCCAATAACTTAGTTGGTGGTTATTTTGTTCCCTGACAACCAAACTGTAGCTCAGGTGTAAAAAAAAGAAAAGAAAGATGATGCAGAAAAAAAGTAAATAACTTCTTGTTTCTCACCTGTCCTCTTTTTGTAAATAAAGAATGTGATCACAGCGATGGCAGCAAGAACAACCACAGCAACAACAACAGAGATGATCATGTAGATGGAATTTCCTGTGGATCACAGAACAAACAAAAGGTGAGAACAAAGTTTCCAATCAGATAACAATCATGTACAAAAGCTTCGTTTATGGTCACTACATATTTGTCTCACTAATGTTTGTTTTCATTCCAACAATAAAAGTTCTGCCATTAAATTAAATTTCAATACATTGCTATGTTCAAATTTATTGGCAATGTTTCAAAATATACCTTTTCCCCCATTTTTTATGAAATCTTCTAAAACTGTCCATTCGTCAGGTAAATACAGAGATTATAATTGCTTAACAGTGGCCACACATGAACATGTTTTATATTCATCAATGTTCAGCAAGAAAAAAATGTGGTGGAAAAACACAACTTGGTCTAAACTGATTTAGGTCTTAAAATTATTCTGACAGAAGGAAAACCTAAACAAACAGATTACCTCATCCAACATGAACCACAGGCTATTGCAGTAATTCAAGTGTGTGTTTCCCATGTTCATCACTCATCTGATTCTGATTCCAGACTCACCTTCATTGGTCTTGATCGCTGCTTTGTCCAGTTTGGTGGCGATGTCCTCGTTCACACCAGAGAGCTGAAACACACATCTGTATCTGTGCCAGTCTTCAGGTGTGACTGATGAAACATCCAGGTCAACACTCATCTGGAAGGTCCCGTCATTGTTGGTGAGGATCTCTCCTTTGCTCACACCCTCATGAAGCTCCACTCCATCTCTTTTCCAGACCATCTTGGCTCTGTTAGGATAGAAACCTGTAGCGTGGCAGGTGACTGGAGAGGAGGAAGACTTCTGGAGGAGAGACACTGAGGGGAGATCTGTGGAGTAAAGACAAACAGTTCATTCTTTCTGTATTATTACTATGACTTTTATTTGAGCTGGAGAGGTGCATAGTGCAGACGAGACGTGAAGAAAAGAGTGCAGACAAGGTGGAGTGGATGGAGACGAGCAAGAGTGGAAAGGAAGGTTTACAAGATGGCAGTGAGACCTGCTGTGATTTAATATCTGAGGATGGTGGCACTGAGACAAATACAGGAGACAGAGCTGATGATATTAAAATTATCATAAGGAGTGAGAAGGATTAGAAATGAGTATATCAGAGCTAAAACTGTGGAAGATGATCTGCTGTGACGACCAGGAGCAACTTTAAAAAGAAGAAGATTATTATTATTAGAAGCATACTGATTTATTTTTGATGTGATGTAGTTTATACAATTAAATGAAATTTAAAGAATGTATTAAAATGCCATACAAAGTGTTATTATATTAATTTAATATCATAGTAAGCAATAAACTGAGACATATTACTATTGGTTAACAATCTAATTCTGGTCATAGATTTTACCTGTTCTCATCAGAGAGCTCCTCCCATAGGTCACATACTTCTTCAGCCACTCAGGACACTCCTGTGTGAGGTAGTTCTTCCACTGTGTGATCGTAGCTCTGTCACTGTCCAACTTGTTTTTGGTGATCTCAGCCTGTTGTTTTGGAGCGACCCATGTCTGGTCCTTCAGGTCAAAGCTGATGAAGTCCTCTCCATCATAACCATACTGCATATATCCACTCACTTCACCTGTTTCATCCCATTCACAGCCGCACATCCGCTGGACAATGTGAACACCTGACAGAAACACAGAGACAAAGACTGCAGTGAACCAGAGAGAGGCTGCACTAAAGTCTTATACTGACACAGAGACGTGATCAACATATAGAGGATCTACATTTATGGCTGTTTTTGTCTCAGTGGAAGATTTTTAAAACCAGTCATCATTAACAATGTAGATTTTACAGAAAGACACTGGGAAAAAACAGATGATTTTGGAGATGAGCGTCATTATTTTTAATTCAGTTTGTCTCATTTATTTTGTACAAGGGAAAGTTGATTAAAGTTGTTTTTACCCACAGCAGGATTTAGTGACTTAGATTTAGTTTAACGTCAGATTAGCGTCTGAAACCGGACAGAGCAACATTTAAAACGCTGAATGAAACCGTGCCATTCATTCAGCTTAGTGCTCAGAACTGCTACATGCTGCTGTAAAGGAGGAGCTGCTGATGAAGATTACACACTTTTCCTAAGTTTATGCTGAAATTTAAAGCATTTTAAATGATTACAGCATTTTTTTTTAATACAGATTTTTTCAGACATTGAATGGAGGAAAACAGCGTTTCAGACCCGAACAAAAGCAGAACGGTCTTTGAGAAACAAACAGTCCCAAAAAGTTGATGCTGTTCATTTGGACGTCGTGTTTTCAGTGGGAGAAACGTTTCACCGCTCATCTAAATGACTTCTTCAGCCTCAGCTGACTGCAGGTTTCCCCAACTTTGAAACAGGACATCTGCATAATGCCTGATGCTAAAACCACTAACAACAGGCTGTGAGGTCAGTGTCGTGATCATAAACACGCAAACTGTCACGATCATTGATCAGTGGCCCTGAGTAACACGTACAGAGAGTTGAGGAACGGCCTCACAGCCCATTGTTAGTCAGTGCTGCTGGTGATCAAATAGGCAAACTTAAGCGATCACTTTACCGGACTGAGGGATGAGTTGGTGTCTGCGCTCCTTCTTCTTTGATTGGAGTTAAACTACAGTGGATGAGAAACATGAGGAGGCCCTGCATAGTTTAGGAAAACGCCTCACAGCTGTCACTGAGCGCCGGGTAAAGCAGCTCAGTGACCGAGCAAGAGCGCTGTTTTTTCCGCAGCTCTTAAATGTTGCGCACACCCGTGATGTCTAATGCAGCGTTCAAAGACCCCGCCAAAAATGTCGTTTTTTCGCTGCTCATATGAAGGCTTTCAAACACCACCCGCTGGCGCTAAATACGGTGTCCTGGCGGGGTTTTCACCAACCTTTACTGCATCCTGATTTATTAAATGGCGATTTTTACATCATTTCTTAACCAGACGAATTGGAAAAGTGGCGAATGTTGGCCTAGACGACACCACAGGGCTGTGATCATGTAATTATGTTTGTACTGTGGATGAGTTTGGAGATGAGCCTCAGTATTTTTAATTCAGTTCGTCTCATTTATTTTGTTCGAGGTTGTTTAAAGTTTTTTTACTTGAGGATTTAGTCGCTGTGAGTTTTGTGGGTTAAAGTGAGGAAACATGTCGCGTTAAAGAGGACGTGAAACAGCACATTTTACAGCTTTGACACAAAATTAAGAGCGTTGTGATTTATTCTGGGAGAAACGTCGGGGCGATCGTGGCTCAAGAGTTAGGAGTTCGCCTTGTAATTGGAAGGTTGCCGGTTCGAGCCCCGGCTTAGACAGTCTCGGTCGTTGTGTCCTTGGGCAAGACACTTCACCTGTTGCCTACTGGTGGTGGTCAGAGGGCCCGGTGGCGCCAGTGTCCGGCAGCCTCGCCTCTGTCAGTGCGCCCCAGGGTGGCTGTGGTTACAATGTAGCTGCCATCACCAGTGTGTGAATGTGTGCGTGAATGGGTGGGTGACTGGATATGTAAAGCGCTTTGGGGTCCTTAGGGACTAGTAAAGCGCTATATAAATACAGGCCATTTACCATTCAAAGTGATTCTTGTTTATAGTCATTTTCCTGCTCGCTGTCATGTGGTCGTGACATCACTCATTACGTCACCAGGTCGGCTGGTTGGGCAGCGCTCCCAGGAGAGGTGAGCTCATCAGAAACTATAAAATGGCGGAAGAGATGAGCTCATCAAAAACTATAAAATGGTGGACGAGATGAACTCATCAAAAACTATAAAATGGCGGAAGAGGTGAGCTCATCAGAAACTATAAAATGGTGGAAGAGGTGAGCTCATCAAAAACTATAAAATGGCGGAAGATGAAGCCGACAGCTGTTTTGATGCCCCGCCCACACACCTTACAGCTCACGCTTTGGAGCCAGTGAGGAGGAGAGAGAGAGTGACCACAGGAAACAGCTGAGAGGATCAGCAGGTGGAGCGACACCACCTGACGCGTGCGTGAACGCTGCAGGGAGACGGCGAGCGAGTCGAGCTGCTGTCAGGAAGCTGCTGTGGATCCAGCAGGTGCTGACGGTCTGACATCTGAACGTCACAAAGTCGTCTCTAACCTGTCGTCTCCTTTTCTTTATGAAGTCTGACAGAAGGTTGGAAAACGAGCAGCTGCACCACCACGACTCAGAGGTGAACTACACTGACTCAACCTGACAAAGATCATTTACTGATCAACAGTTAGCGTCCAGTTTGTTTCTGCTCTTATCGTAGCTGCAGAACAACGATGATGCTGGACTCAGTTATGCTGGACTCAAAGCCTTTGATACACGGAGCATCGTTTCATCTTTCAATCTTTAAACTAATTTAGTTTCAGTAATTATTTCTCTACATCAGTCAAAACTCTACACAAACAGTAGCAGCTGTAATAAACTGATGGCTGCTACATCCACAGATTTAACCTGCACGGAGGAAGAAGACGAGGCGGCTCCGCCTCTCTGCACCTCTTCCTGTTAGTGTTTTATCAGACGAGTAAAATCAGGTGATGTAAAAGGATCTCCGTCACTGGCAGAGAGTTAATCGCAGCACAGCTGACGACGCCGCTCTGATTTAGACAAATGAAGGTCAAGTCTGAGCTGCTGCAGTGAACAGTTTCTCCAAAGCTTCCAGATTTTACCTGAATATTAATAAACGTGAACTCATCACAGACGCTCCAAATCTGACCTTTGTAATATCTCCATGAAAAAACAGCTTCCATATTTAAGGATGTGAATCACTGAGGATGAAAAGAATGAATCTAAGTCTGATCCCTCCTACAAAAAGAGTTAAAAACAAGTTCAGCTCTCTCACTGAGAGGAAGAGTTTTGACTAAAGCAGGAATCTCTGGTGTCCCTGAGGCAGCGCTGGCTCGACGCCTCCATAATAAACCATCAAAGACACTGACAGGCTGCTCTTCAGCTTCATGTGGACGAACAGGAGACGTCACATTAGAAAAACAGCTCGTATGAACTCGATGTAAACGGTGGGCTGAAGGTTTCAGATTTCCACACTTTAAACGGCACATTTAAGATAAACTGGCTCAAACAGCCGATCAGAAGCCCCGCCTCCATCCTGAGCGCTACACCTGTTCGTTTTCTCTCCGAGTCGCAGCACCGAGTTTTCCTCGTGTGTAACTTTGTGGATAAAATCCCCGCGAACACGTCGGCCTCTCATGGCCGGGCTTCCTCGTCACAGACTCTCGTCTACAAACACAGTTTGAGCCTCACACTTATTTTATGTGGAACAACAAGGATATTTGTCCAAGAGGAAATCTGTTTTTCTGGATATTGGTTTGATAATATGATGATGTTGGTAAATCAGCTGTTCCACACAGACGCTGAGCTGCTCTCTGTGAAGAACTCCAGTTAAACATCATCTGTCGCTCCAGGAGATGATGTCACAGCGTATTTAAATATCAGCAACAGTCAGACTCAACATCTGTCCTGTTCTCTCTGTGACACACTCCCACTGGGAAAACAGGTTTTTACTGGTGGCCCTGAAAATAAAAACAAATCTATTGGATCTTTATTCCAGAGAAACACGAGCACGTGACCAGATGCAGTTTGTGTTTGGAGCCGTTTGGTGGATGAAACCTGCAGCGACCTGATAAGCATCTGATTACCAACAAAGTTCAAGAAGTTTCTTTAAACTCGTTCATAGAATTGATGTGAAAACGAGCTCGAAGCTGGACCGAATGCAGACGCTGATGTGAGCTGGAGTTTCTGGAAGAGTCGCCCAGAAGCTGTCGCACGTTTTGCTTTTTGCACTTTTGTTCAGAACTTTTGGTCGAATCTGTGAAGCTTCTGTTGCAGAAAATCTTCTAAAGGTTTTGATTTATTTTGGAAAGATGTTTATTTGTATTGAGCTGTACTTTTATATTCATTGATGGCATAAACTGGCAGAGACAGGACGACATGAAATGTAAAACCATTAAATGGCGATGCAATATTACCATCAGTAGTCTGACACATTCAACAAATTCAAATGTTTTTCAGCCTGTTATAAATTCCACCCTGTTAGAAGCTACTTTTTATATTTTTTGTATTAAATTAATTATCAGTATGTGTTTAATTAAATCTGGAAGAATTATCAGAGGCAAATGTTGTCAACACTGTGTAACAAGTTTTACAATTGTATTTTTTTCTGACCTGAAGATTCTGTAGAATCAGCTGGAATTGCTGCTTTAGTGGGGATATAGTGTTTGAACTGCTGAGCTTCACTGTCAGCTCACACTAAATGTAGTTTTTACTTTTTTTGCTACTCAGTAATAAAACTGAACAATTTTCTGCTCTTTTATTTGTGTTCAATATCTCATGTCACCTGGAGATCTTCATCCAGCCTCAGCCTCCAACTCTAACCATCAATGCCTAAGATTTTGGTGATGAATTATAAGGAGAACAAAATGCTCTGCATCATTCATGAGATCAGACTGTGAATCAATACATACTGAAAGATACGGTTTTCAACATTGAACTAATGAGGGATACAAAATACCGTATTTTCACAACCATAAGGCGCACTTAAAAGTCTTAGATTTTCTTCAAAAAGTACGGCGCGCCCTATAGCGCAGTGCGCCCTGTGTGTTGTAATGAGGACGTAGTAGAGAACACCATGAGAATGCTAAAGGGTGAAGTGTGTGCGTTGACTTTATCGC